ATCACTTCCTTGTCAGGTAACATGTTTTCACCCCAGTCTTGAGGTCCTTGAGACATTCAAATGAGGTTGTGGGTCTTTTCTTAGACTCATACAATGAAGAGATGGAAGGAACCTCAGGGGTTAGTAAAACTCAAACCTGAAAAATAATTCTTTGTTTACTGAGTTGCAACGAAGGAGAATCCCATTTTCTTAGGTAGCCCATTCCATCTTATGGTCCATCAACGATGGAAGGGGTTATCCATGTTTAAAAGAGCAACAATTACCATGCAAGCAAGTTAAGCAACTTGCTGAAGGTCACGACTGGCCAATAGACCTTCAACTCCAAAACACCTGCTCAAGTTTACCTATGTGAAACTTGTTCTGGATCACACTGTGCCGTAATTAAGAAGTCTGGTGTGCAAAAATGTGGGTGCAATAGGAAGGGCTGGGGTGAAGAAAGCGGCAGACAGCATTAGACAAATTCAGATTATTATCTGATGGATCCAATCATACCTGTACAGAGTCATCAGAAAGTCACAAAATCTTACATTGGGAACACGAGAGGCCAACTAGGTCAATTTTCCTGCCTTATGCATGAATTCCTTCTGTAACATCTCCAAGAGAGAGCTGTCTAGCTTTTCCAAGGGCACTACCAGTGACAGGGAACTCAGCACTTCATATGACAGGGGAAGTTTAATCATTAGGAATTAAATTATACTTTAAAAAAAAACTTTCTAAATCTTTAATTTGCCATTAATAAAACTTTTAAAATTAAAAATTTTTATTTACCATTAAATCTGAATTACAGATTTTTCCACCATGCCCACAACCTAAATTATTTAAGGTGAATACAATGGGAAATAGGTAGGTTGAAAAATCTGTAATCCATACCTAAAAGCAAATTTAATTTTCTTCTCACTGACTTCAATTCTGCTAATCAAAGGGGACCATTTACTTTTTGTTTCACATGGGACCTGAAATAATTGTCACACATTATCCAATGTGTGAAACAGCTTTCCTAAACAATCAGTTTGGGGGCAGCTAGGTGGCACAGTGGATAGAGTACTGGCCTTGGATTCAGGAGGACCTGAGTTCAAATCTGCCCTCAGACACATAACACTTACTAGCTGTGTGACCCTGGGCAAGTCACTTAACCCCATTGCCTAGAAAAAAAAAAACCCTATCAGTTTGATTTTCAAAAAGTAATTAATTAGATCTATCTACAACCTGTTAAAGCTTAAATGAGCACATGGCCTTCATGACTATATATGTTTCTATGAATTAACATCTGTTGTCAAAGAAAATCCACTAGAAATAGTGTTAGTGTTATCACAATAGAAACTGTGATAGCAACAAATCATAAAATGATATATTTAGAGTTGAAAGACGATTTGGAGGTCATCTAAAGCAGGTGGTACAGTGGGTAGAACCAGAGCTGGAATCAGGAAGATCTGAATTCAAATCCATCAGAAACTTGCTCGGTAACCCTTGGCAAGTCATTTAACCTCTGCCTGCCTCAGTTTTATCTATAAAATGGGGACAATTATAGAACCTACGTCCCAGAGCTATTGTGAGGATCAAATAAGATAATTGTAAAGTATTTGGCAAAGTGTCTGGCACATAAATGATATAGAAATGTTAGCTATTTTATTAGCGATTATTATAAAAGATGATATTATTTGGGATTTGAACCCAGGTTCTGACACCAGTGTTTTTTCAACTATACCACTCTCTCTCGGTACCTCCTTATTTAAGCAAACAAACAAAAACAAACAAACAAAAAAACCCACAGCTTTTCTCCCTATTTCCCGCTCTACAACTGGCTATCTTTTGGGATTGACTGGTCAGAGCCATGAGATAAGCCCAGGCTAAGGATGGAACTGACTGAGGTGGGAAGACTCACTCCAGAAGCTGCTTTCTGTGCCTAAAGCTCTGGGGCCCAGTCTACAGACTCACTCACCAGTTGAGGTCATCTGAGGCCAATAGGCTGGCACTCTCAGTACAACCAACCACCTATTCTGGGCTAAAAGTATATTTAGGCCTCTGATGACTGCATGGGCTTCTGGAGCAGTACTCTAACCCCAAAGTCAAATTCTTAAGAGGACTCAGGGGTTCATATTGCACCCCAGGGATTGAGAGAAAGCTCAGGGAAGCAACTTGTATGAAAAGCTGTTCTCAAGTCTTCCTGGGCCACCCTGGACTAAAGTACTCTCTCCTGACATGGAATTCCTATAGCAATTATGGCTAATGTTAATTCATTTGGCAACTAATTCAGTGCTATTTTGGGACAGCACTATTGTTGTCCTGGACCAATACTGATAGCTTTTACTATTAACTTTTATATTTTTCATCTCGCCAACTAGACTAGAAGCGCCTTGAAGGCAGCTCCTGTGTCTCTGCACAATAAATACACAGCCAATAAATACATCAAGGATCTGTGATTGCCTCAGTGTGGGGACTCTCAGATTGCAAACCATCTATATTTCAGAAAATAGGCTGCAGACCTGAGCCACGAAGAGTTGTGACTTGAGCATAACCACAATGTCAGTGACGGGATCTGAATGCAGATCTTCCTGACTCCGGGTCGGACAATCCGTTGACCATGGAATGCTGCTTCTCTTACACATGGTAAGGATTCAAGAAATTCTTGATATGAAATGATAAACACATGTGCCAGCTTTCCTGTCATAGCCACTGGCTTATCATTCCTCTAAAAATGATTCTGGTCCACTGCTCTTCAACTTGCTGGCTGTCCACATCAGCCATGCCCTCATTGCCCATCCTGCTGCCACATGCATTTCCTGCCCCCCAACTTTCAACCTTTTCACTTTTTGCTTTGGGAACATTAATCAAATCAACACTACCACTGTTTCTGGAAAGGAGATGTCAAGTCCCTGTATGGCTCCACTCACCATCTTTATGACGTACCAAAGCAGAACACTCTTCCTTGGACACCATTCCCTTAAATGTGTTGTCTCCCCTAGCCAGAATGTAAGCTCCTTGAGGGCAGGTACTGGCTTGCTTTTATACTTGAATCCCCAGTTCCTAGCACAGTGATTGGCATGTGGATATATGCTTAATAAATGATTTTCATTTATGCCTTCAAATTCCAAACCTACCTTACACAGTCATACCTCTTTCTAGACCTTTGCTGTTTCCTACGTTCCTTTCCCCACTCTTTTCCTCCTAACTCCTACCCATCTTTTAAATTCCAGTTCCATAATGGTTCCCCAATTCAGTGACTAATCCCTCTACTGAACTTCTAAATCACTAATCAATCAATCAACCAACAAGTCTTTATTAAGTGCCTACCACATTCCAGGTGCTGGGGACACGAGTAAAGAGTAAGATAATTGCTACAAAAGTATACAACACCCAATAGTGTACAAGGACCATGTCATACTATTCATTGGCACTTGTCACTTACTGCCTTTCACTGCTAGTTATCTTTTCATGTGTTTATGTCTCACCTTACCAACCAGAATAAGATTCTTTTCTATTATTATTATTATTATTATTTGTTTTTAGGCAATTGGGATTAAGTGACTTGCCCAAGGTCACACAGCTAGTAAGTGTCAAGTGTTTGGTCTCGAGGCCGAATTTGAACTCAGGTCCTCCTGACTTCAGTGCTGGTGCTCTATCCACGTTACCACCTAGCTGCCCTTTAGAATAAGATTCTTGAAGGCAGAAACATGTTTCTTTCCAAAACTGAGATAAAGCCATCTTTGAACCCCAGGCAGGATTTGAAAATAGTATTTTCTACGTACCCACTGGAAGCTTTTAGTCTTAACAGACACATATGCCACTTGTCACAATAAGAACATACTTTAAAGAGCAGAATTTTTTGGCATTAAAAATATGTATATATTTAGAAACAATAATATTAGAATGCAATTATTTGCACTCCACTAATTGCATTGAGCCCTCAAACACTACAAAGGCTTCATAGCAAGATGAAGGAGATTGGCCTAATCACCCACACTGAGAAAAAAGAGTGGAAGAAAAAGGCATATTGCCCAGACTGTCACAAGCTGCTGGATGGAAATCAATAGGTATATCTTGGACAAGCCCTAAAGACAGAAAATGAGCTGAACCCCATATTGAGAAGATGAGGTTATATAAGATCATGTCCAGAAAACTGGGCTGGGCTTTCTATAAAACCAAGGGCTCAATGCCAATAAAACCCATCTCCTTAACACTCACATTCTCCCAGTGATCCTAGAGGGTGCACACTTTCAGAAGAATTAACGAACAATGCAAAGAGTGACAAAAAGATGCAGGGTAGGCATAAGATGGTCATGGGGTTACTAATGTAACCCACGTGGGAGATGCAACCTAGAACAATTACTGAAGGCACATATTAACAGAAAGGGAAGGAGGAGAATCGGCCACATGGTGACAGTAAAATACATACAAATGGAAAGACTAAGGGAGAACTGGCACCCTCAAGATGGTACAACAGCAGCAGACAGACCTTCACTGAGCTGGATGAAAAAAACAGGGGAAAACCACATAAGATGAGAAGGTGAAAATGAATTCACTTGGAGGAAATACAAACACTGATCACACCCTGGATCCATAGCACCCACACAGGAAATGTTGGTTCCATCACATCCCCTTTGGTTTGGACCCTACCTTGGCTCCCCTCCTCACCCTGTGTTCTTTGGACTGCCCTTCAGGCAAGCTTCCCTCTGTGGGACAGTGATGGAGGTGGCCTGAAGGACAGCTATAGTCAGGCTGAGGTTCTGTCATAACCATGGGTCTTAATAAATACTTGTGCATTAGAGGGAATCAATTTCCTGCGGACTTCTAAATTCTTTCTGTGACTCCCTATAATCTGGTTGATGGGCATTAGATAACTTTCTCTCATAGGAGATCATAGCATGAAAAGGTCAGTTTTTAGTAGCCCAGCATCCAATGAGGTTAACCCTTAGAATTCAAAGACCTTTCTGTAGCTGGATGTACTAGCTATAGCAACGACGTGAGACCCTGGAATTGAACATGGATGGAGCAGAGAATGGTAAACTGAACCAAGTGCTGTGTTTTTACCCAGTACATGCAAGTATCAACCAAGATAAGAGGAGGAAGGAGAGAAGGGACCTGGGGAGAAGCCTCTTTCATCCCTTACAAATGTGAGGAATTTTTACACAGAATCATCCTGGATATTTCTGATCTAATAAAACTTGATCTCAATTTTCAGCTCAGCATTCACAAGGCCATCATCTGGGCTCAGGGCAGTCTCTAAACAGGCTCTGGACATTTTGGGGGCCTGGACTCAAAATACGTGGGGACCTTAAGAGTTTAGGGCAGAGGGTACTCAGTCACAGTTAGGGATATGGGAATAGTGAGAGAAAAAACTATGGGAAAATAGGGAAAGGAAGAAGGGTGCATGTGGAGTTAGGGATGTTCTGTGGAGGAGGGAGACAGCTAATGTTTTACAAATCATAAAATTTTAAATGTAAGATCTTGGACTTTATTTTTGCAAAGATTTTTTAAGTGCCTATTTAAATTGGGGGGTAGGGAACCTCTCCCACATGGCTATCATGGGAAAAATATTTTCCCTGAGAAATCTCTTGTTAGTTCCTTCAGCTTCATCCCTCCCTAGGCCCAGGCCCCTTCCATAGTGCTCTCTCACTGTGCAGGACTATATTTACATCTTCAATTAAGTGCAAGCCCTAGCATCAGAAACCTAGAAACCACAAAGTAGCTTTGTCTCTTTAATTTTCCATAAGGCATGTACTACCACATTTTTCAATGGTAAAAATGGCCCCCTCATTCTCCTTTGTTCAATGTAGGCACCTAGGTTTGCAGTGAGGAAGAAAGTGAGGACCACAAAGAGTTCCCAAGTAAAACCAATAAAGAGAGAAAAGCCCTTTCTCTTTCTCTCAGTTCACACAACTGGCCTTGAAACAGGCCAGGCAAGAGATAAGGTATCATCCAGAGTGACTAGGTGGGCAGGGGACAAAGCCAGAGGCTGAAATGCTGGTTACCCTGGTGAAATATACATCTCTCCCATCCCCAGCACCTCTCTCCTTTAGCTTGCCAACCAATTTCCCACTTCCCTCCACCCCTTATCAAACAATGACAACTTTTCAGTAGTCGGACAAGCCCTTCCCAACATCAGTCCAGAACAGAACAGTCCATTCGTTCTCTTTAAATCATGTGGTGGCTCTGTACATAAGTGGATAGGTAGGTAGACAGAGACAGGGAGAAAGTAAGATCTTCATCGGGGTGCACTGGAGGGAAACAAACTTTGATCACAGCCGCTGCCGATATCTCATGATGGCCCAGGCTGCTGCCATGGCAACAACAAACAATGGCACCAGCACCATGGCAACCGGGATGCCACTTGGTTCCCCTTCCCCTCGATGACCCAAGGGCCCATTCTGCACCTGCACCTGGAAGAGAAAAAAGAATACTGATTTTTCATTAGCCAGTGTTTCAGAGACACTACCACCCAACAAAGACATGGCCGTGAAGCCTAGGCACCATCAGGCAAAGGCAGGAGGGAAGGTTAGTAACTGTTCAGTGTTATTTATGCTATCAACCTCAGAGAGAGAGACAGGGCAGGGTTTAGTTGGGAAGGCTCTCCATTGTCTTTGCTGAATGCTGAAGGTGCTTGAGTCCCTCACAGGGTAACTTGTAAGGTGCTCAGAGAGCTTGAGGCTCTGGGACAGTGATCATTCTGAAAGGCTCCTTGGAGCAGAGGGGAGAAGTAGCGGACTTATTCTCTTGCACACAGTGCTGATGTGAGAAACTGGTCGAATTCCAAGTGGCTCTCTCCTTAGGAATCAAGATCATGGCCTAAACTTCTCTTCCCCTAATTCTCAATTCTAGATGCATGAAAGGGAAAAAAAATCCATAAAACAGACAAATCCTAAGCATTCCTCTCCTAAATGGTGGTTATAGGTACTTTCTCCTGTAGCTGAGTGACCCTTTATATACATATAAAGACCCATATACTAGATATATGTCTAGCAAAAGAGATGAAGCATTAGATATCCTAGTAGCAGTTATCATTGTCCTCCAAGTCTTTGTCAAGGAGTCTAGTGCCTGGCTTATAGACTTCCTCTCCTCTCTCTTATACTAGAGGATTTTGATATACCTGTTATTGTCCCTCAAACACTAGAACATCCCAATTCCTCAACTCCCATGACCTCACCTTTCCATCTCAACAACACAGAGGGCTGGTCACACCCTTGATCTCCCCTGCCCCCCCCCCAGTCTTCCATTTCAATTGATCAATACCTCCAAAGTCCCTGTATGAAATCATAATCTCCTATTTATTATTTCCCATCTCCCTATTCTGTATTCCTCCTAAACCTATTCTTCATCTTCATTGGGAATTCCAAACCCTCCACCCCTCAAAAATCTTCCAAGCCATAAAACACTGCTCCAACCTCACTTTCCTCCTTTCCTATTGTTGATTCTATAGTTAATAAATTCAACTCTATATATCCTCTACTCTTAAATCCCTTGCCCCCAGTCTTCTATGAATTTTCAAATGCCCATCTTGGATTGGTCTCCCACCTACCTCGTCCATTCTTTCTTACAAAACTGGAAGAAATTATGTTAACTAAGCCAACCTGGTCCAAAACAAATTTATGTCATCTCAAATGGGCTTTCACAAGACAATCCTTTTACTCCTTCCCTAGCTGAGTCTTTATCCTACTCTCCACAAAGGTTAATTCAAACCTCTTCTCAAATTTTCTTTTCTTTCTCAAACCTTTCTCAAATACGGCCATCGCTTTTTGCTATCCTCTCTGCCAAGGACGTTGCCTCATATCTTACTGAGAAAATAGAGACTCCTCTGTATCCCCAGTCCCCTTGAAAACATCTCTCATCCCCTTCTCCTCTAGTCTCACCTTCTCCTTGCCAAGGTCAATCCCTCTATGTATCCCATTCTCTCCTGTCTCCTCCAGCACACTGCCCCCACAATCATCTCCTCTCTCTTTCTAACCTCTATCTCTTGCTATCTACTGGTTCCCTCCCAGAGGCCTAAAAACTAGGCCATGTTTCTCCCATCCTGAGAAAACCATCACTGGACCCAATCATCCCCTCGAGCGATCATCCTATCTCTCTCTTCCCTTTCTCAGAAAAATTCCTAGAAAAAGATGACTCCATCCAGAGCCCCTACTTCTCTTCTCACTCACTTCATATTTAATAATCAAGCATTTACTAAGCTCTTAGTATAAGCCAGGCACCGTGCTAGGATAGAGTGCTGAAGTGAAGAAGATCTGAGTTCAGACACTCTTTCAGACACTTCCTGGCTCTGTGACCCTAGGCAAATCACTTAATCTCTCTCATCCTCAGTGTTCTCATCTATAAAATGAGGAGGTAGGACTTAACTTAGGCACAGTTAGGTGGTGGATAAAATACCAGGCCTGGAGTCAGGAAAACTCCTCTTCCTAAGTTCAAATCTGACCTCAGACACTCGCTAGCTGTGTGACCCTGGGTAAGTCACTTAACCCTGTTGGCCTCAGTTTCCTCATCTGTAAAATGAGCTAGAGAATGAAACGCAAACCACTCCAGTGTCTTTTCCAAGAAGACCCCAAATGGGGTCACAAAGAGTCAGACATGAATGAAAACAACTGAACAACACTAAAAAAGACCTCAAAGGTCCCTCCTAGTTCTAAATTGATGATTCTAAATTATCAGCTCTTGGCAAAATGGCTTCTAACTTCATTACTCAACTGAAATTACTCTCACCAAAGTCACCAATTATCTTTGAACCACCAAATATGATGGCTTTCAGGAGTTGTTCTCCATGGCTCCATGTTGGGAGAGGCTTTATATGTGGCTGAATCCAAACAGCCAGAGCTTCCGTACCAAATGGCACATCAAACATAATCACAGATTACAGACTGCACATCGGGGAATTTAAATTCCTGGTGGGCACATCAAAAACCCTCCTCCTTGCACTGCCAGCAATGACGCATAGAAGGTAACAGGAAAAGGAAAGGTTGAGACTAAGTCCATGGAATTCGAGTGCTTCTTCAAAAAGCCTGCTGAATGAAGACTGGCTCCAAACACACAAATGGAGGGGATGCCCACCCTATGTTGCACTTTGAGCGACACGGCATAACCAGCATTTCGGAAGAGGTCCACAGCATCCTGATGCAGCAAATTCTTCAGGTCTTGACCGTTCACCTGCCAAGAAGAGTAAGGAAGAAGAATAAAAGAATTAGAAGCAAAGCTCCAATATATCTACATGCTGGGGATATGACGGGTCTTGAAAATGCAAAATCCTAAACTACTAATTATATGGCTAACTCACAAATTGGACTGGAAGGAGGACGAGAAATGAGCACAGAGTGAAGGGTGCTTAGACTTGTCAAGTCACTCCTCCACTCAAATATTTTCAGTGGCTCCCTACTACATCCTGAGTAGAGATTGAACTCATTTTTTCATGCATTCATGGCCTCTATGATCTGGCACTGCCTCATCTTTTCAGCCTTACTTAACTTTGCAGTCTGTTATTCCCCTTCTTACACTCTATGCTCCTGTCACACTGGACTATACTCTAATGTTTCATGGGTCCTCCTGCCTCCATGCTTGCGCCTACACTGTTCCCAATGCCTATTGTGCCTTCCTCTCTCCCTCTTCTCCTGCAGAATTCCTACCCAAATCAAATGCCAGCTCCTTCATAATGCTTTTCCTGATCCACTTTGTCGATCAAGTTCTTTCTCCTTGGAGCTCACGTAGCACTCAGTTTTACACCTCTCCAGTGATGCTGTGTACTGTAGTTATGTGCTGGTGTTTTATCCCATGACTATCAAGATGTGGTGTGCTACAGTAGAAAGGCCACTACCAGTGCTACCAGTGATACCAATACAAAGCATAGATACCAAGATAGTGGGAAAGGTCTCACAGACACAAAATATTTAGAGTAGTACCTTTTGTAGTGGCTAATAATCAGAAGCAAAGTGTGTGCCCAACAAGTACAAAATGGCTGAACAAATTGTGATATGTGACTGTAATGTAACATTACTGTGCTGTAAAAAATGACAAATATGAAGAATTTGGAGAAACTTGGGAAGACTTATAGGAAATGATGCAAACCAAAGTAAGCAGAATAATTTACATGACAGTCACAATAATCTAAGGGAAAACAACAATAAAACACTTTAGAACTCTGATCAATGCAGTATTCCATAGTAATGTCAGAGGACTTAATGGTAAAGCATGACTCCTGCTTCTCAGTTGAGAGGCGATGGACTATATGTGCCAAATGAGACAAACATTTTCGGCCATGGCCGATGTGTGGATTTGCTTTGTCCAACTATATTTACTTGTTACGAGGGAGGGCAGGGAGGAAGGTAATGTTTGGGAAGTAATAGTGATGGAAAAGAACATTGAAAAGATGTTAAAAAAAAATGTTAAAAAGAACACTTTTTAAAAGGTGCAAGGAAAAAGCACACTGGACCAGGAGGAGTGAGGATGCCCAGTTTATAAACGCAGTTATGCCACTAACTAGCTATCTGACCTTGGGCAATACATTTTACCTCTCTGGTGTTAGGTTTCTTCATCTCTTCTTAGGTTGTCCTAAGCTAGGAATCTGGGGACCCGGAGTCTCCAGCTACCAGGAAGTCTTTGAACATGGATGGGAAAAATACTAAATCTTTGTTTTCACTCATCTCTGATACTTAGCATTTCCTACAATTATTGAAAAACATTATTCTGAGAAGTGTTCATAGTCTTCACCAGACTGCCAAAGGGGCTTATGATACAAAGAAAGATCAACAACTCCTGGAACAAATGGTCTCTAAGATCTTTCCAATTCTATGACTTTACCTCTCATCCCATTTATGTCCCTCTTTCTACCCACAATGCTATCTCTGGTCCTAAGCTACATCTATTTCTCCTTTGAAACTCTCCTCTTCTATAAAGCCTTTCCAGGCAACCAATACAGTCACTGCATTCACGGGTTCTTGCCACTTCTTTCAACTTTCCACACACTTTTAGCATTTTGAACAAAATCCAAAGTGCTTATTAGCCCGGCACCTAAGGGCTGATCCTTAACTCCTCCCACTCACCTTCTACCCTGTCCCACCCCCTACCCCAAGCACATCTGGCTCTAATCCAGTATTATCTTATACAACTTTCCTTCACATACTCTAACCTCTCAGCAAATGGAGTACTGACCGTCCCCTGAACACATCTAACACTTTTTCATCTGTCTTTATGTATATCATTCCCTGTATTTGGAATGTTCTTCCCTCTCAATCTATACCTATTGACAATCCACCTGTTTTTCAAGGCTCAGCTCAAATGTCACCTTCTCCATAGTCTTCCTTAATCCTCCTGGATAGAAATAACTTCTCTCTCCATGCTCATTATATGATCACAGATTAAGAGCTGGATTAAGGCCATCTAGTTCAACTCCATTATTTTATATACAAGAAAAGATTAAGTAACCTACCTAGAGTCACACAATTACCTAGTAAGTGGTGGAACCAGGATTGGAAACCAGGTCCTCTTAACTCCAGATCCAGCACAATGTCTACTGGACAGGCCACTTCTCATGCTCTTATAATTTGTGTCATCTTTATTGGTGTCCCTGTTTATTACCACCTCTAATATTTATAGGTTCTTTAAATGCAGGGACCATGTCTTCATTATTCCCATATCTCCCACTAGGAAGTACTATAAACTGCACAAAACAGACACTTGGTAAACTTGGGAAGAATGACTTTTACATATTCACAATGTTTACACTTTGAATGCAAACACTGTAATGTTTACATTAAAGAAATGTTAAATTAAAGAAATGTTTATAATGTAAACATTCTTCTACGCCCAAAGGGCTACAACACGGTACATATTCTTTGATCCAGCAATACCCCTACTAGGTCTGTATCCCAAAGAGATCATAAAGAATGGAAAAGGATCTACATGTACAAAAATATTTATAGCAGCTCTTTCTGTGGTGGCCAAGAACTGGAAATTGAGAGGATGCCCATCAATTAGGGAATGGCAGAACAAGTTGTGGTATATGAACGTAATGGAATACCACTGTTCTATAAGAAATGATGAGCAGGCAGATTTCAGAAAAACTTGGAAAGACTTACATAAAGCTTTTAAGCAGCCCTCGGGCCACTCGCAGCACACCAAAGGATTTTGAGCAGCCTGTGAAAAATGATCTACATTTTTCGGGGCCATCCAAAATCCTTGGCATGCCACAAGCAGCCCATGGTCTGCAGATTGTGCAGACCTGACTGCACGTGAACTGATGCTGAGTGAAGTGAGCAGAGGCCAGAGAACACGGTACACAGTAACAGCACCATTGTGCAATGATCAATTATGATAGACTTAGCTCTTCTCAGCAATACAATGATCCAAGATAATTCTAAAAGATTTGTCATGGAAAATGCTATCCATATCCAGAGAAAGAACTACGGAGTCTGAATGCAGATCAAAGCCTTGCAATAATAACCCTTCACAAATCCAAAGCCTACTTTTTGGCAGTCTCGGTTCTGAAACAATTTATTAGTGCTATTCTTTAAAAACATTGCTGTAAGGAATGTTTACATTGTGGGTTTTTTTGCACTTAGTTTTTTTTCCAATTACATGTAAAGATAATTTTCAACATTCATTTTTGTAAGATTTTGAGTTCCAAATTTTTCACCGTCCCTTTCTTCTCTTTCCCCTCCCCAAGACAGTAAGCAATCTGATATAGGTTATACAAGTACAATCATATTAAACATATTTCCACATTAGTCATGTTGTGAAAGAAGAATCAGAATAAAAGGGAAAACCACAAGAGAAAGAAAACAAAGAAACAAAAAAAAAGTGAAAATAGTAGGCTTTGATCTGCATTCAGACTGCATTCAGTAGAGAGATTTCACAAGCTTCCTTAGTGACCTATTCCAATGTTACATAACTAAAAGACAGCAAGAGGGCATAATGAACAGATTCCTAGACTTGAAGTCAAGAAGACCTGAATGCTGCCTCTGACATTTACTAGCTGGTTGACCAGGGGCAAATCACCTAACTTTCCCGGGTCTCAATTTTCTAATATGTAAAATGGAAATTATAATACTGTAGGATCTTCCTTACCAGGTTGTTGTGAGTCTCAAATGAGATAACGTACATACAGTTCTTTAAACACTTTAACCTGCCACAGAAATGTCAGTTACTGTTATCATCATTTTTGTTGTTGTTAAGAGTCCCAAATTCTTTCTTATGGCTTGTTTTTTAAACAAAGCACTCTTTTCTCTACCGGTAAAAACTCATTTATGCTTAGAGTTGTTAAAACACAACAAGGCTTTAATCTTCTTAAAAGAATTAAACATGATCTGGAAAGCTCACAAGAGCTTTCCCCATTAAAAAGGGTCTTTTCTTCAGGATGGGGGTGGAGGGTGGGGTGAGGAGGCAGTCACTGAATAATAACAATTTTTACAATAGTCATTGTTTTGGCCTCAGACACTTGACACTTACTAGCTGTGTGACCCTGGGCAAGTCACTTAACCCCAACTGCCTCACCAAAAAGCAAAAAATAAAATAAAATAGTCATTGTTATTTGTGAACTGATTCAACCAATCTGGAGGGCAATTTGAAACTATGCCCCAAGGACTACAAAACTGTGCATACCCTTTGACCGAGCAATACCACTTCTAGGTCTGTATCCCAAAGAGATCATAAAAAAGGGAAAAGGACATATTTGTATGAAAATATTTATAGCAGCTCTTTTTGTGGTAGCAAAGAACTGGAAATTGAAGGAATGCCCATCACTTGGGGGATGGCTGAACAAGCTGTGGTATATGAATGTAATGGAAACTATTGTGCTAAAAGAAATGATGAGCAGGCAGATTTCAGAAAAACCTGGAAAGACTTATATGAACTGATGCAGAGTGAAGTGAGCAGAAGTTGGAGAACACAGTACATAGTAACAGCAACACTGTGTGATGATCAACTATGACAGACTTAGCTCTTCTCAGTAATACAATGATCCAAGATAATTCCAAAAGACTCATGATGGAAAATGCTATCCACATCCAGAGAAAGAACTATGGAGTCTGAATGCAGATCAAAGTCTATTTTCACTCTTTTTGTTTTTTGTTCTCTCTCTCTCTCCCTTTTGTTCTGATTCTTCTTTCACAACATGACTCATATGGAAATGTTTAACATGATTGCACATGTATAACCTA